TATATATATATAGAGAGAGAGAGAGACAGACAGACAGACAGACAGAGATGTTCCCATACATACATACATACATACATACATACATACATACATACATAAGGAAGGGAACATCATGAAGCTTTTGATCAACTTTCATCTGAATAGATGGAATTGTTAGTTTCACAGGAAAGATGTGGATGATACCAGGTCAAGATAGACTATTGTGCTCTGAAAAGTAGCCCTGTGTGCTATAGAAACTTCTTTTCCATAGAAAGATAGATTGATTCCACTTCAGTTAACTACATTGCAGATTCTGAAATCTGAAGGTATATATTCATTGTGGTAGTGAGGATGATGATGATGATGATGATGATGATGATATCGGTAATAGCTTTGTTATGAAGAAAGCTTTAAAAATGTGGATTTTAAATATGTTTTATTATATTTACATTGTTTTGATTTGACTGCTGGACAAAATCAAAGTTCAATAAATTCTAATTCTAGGTCTAGTATCAGGATGAATATTGGAGCAGTTAGAGACTTCGCTTTTCCTTTATCAGAAGCAGATACAGAGGGAGGGTGAGTGTGCTGTTGAGGAAGCTAAATGTGCACCCTGCCCTGCTTGGCAATCTCTAAACTAGTTGGCTGCTCATAAGCATAGCAGAAGACAACCAGGATTGAAGACACCAGATAGCAAATTGCTTGGCTTATATACATGGAATGGGAAGGGTCCATTTGTTTTTCTGACCTAGCTAGCAAAATATCTTCAGCCAACTCTGAGTGTAAGATTTTCTGATCCTGTAAAAGTGTAAAAATGCACCTTGATAAACTGAACGGTATTTGCATTTCTGAGTTTCTGCTACATCTTCTAGATGTTTGTAGGAATAATTTGGAAAAATAGGCTCATGTAATCTCCAGTCCAGTAGTACTAACACTGGCCAAAACAATTAATGTACAATTATTGAAAAAGAAAGCCACTGCAGAAGGAGAAATACATTGCCTGTTATTTAATGTCCAGATAAGAAGTTAATAAATGGAGCAAAAAGAAAGTACATGTGTGTGTGCGTGTGTGCCTTTAAGTCAGTTTTTTACTCCTGGCAACTGCCTGGACAAGTCCCTGCATTTTTTTTGGCAAGATTTTCAGAAGTGGTTTGCCATTACTTTCTTCCTAGAGCTGAGGGAGAATGACTGGCCCAAGGGCACCCATCTGGCTTTGTGCCTAAGGCAGGACTAGAACTCTCAGTCTCCTGGTTTTTAGCCTGATGCCTTAACCACTACACAAACTGGCTCTTAAGAGTAAATTACCTTCAGTTAAATATAAATAACTCATGGATGATAATGATGCTATCTGTTCAATTGTGTCTGATTCTCGGTAATTCTATGGACCAGCTGTCTCCACATTTTCCAGTGTTGTATGCTTTTTCAGTTGTTTTATGCTCTGGTTGGCATTGGCTTTGATGGTGTCTAACCACCTTGCGTTTTGGCAGCCTCTTTTCCTTTTACCAGTGACTATTCTGAGCATAACTGCCTTTTCCAGTGAGTTTGATCACATGACACGGCTGAGATAAGTAAGGCATAATTTTATGATTTTGCCTTCCAGCAATATGTCTGGTTTTATACACTCCAGAACTTGCTTGTTTGTCACCTTTGCTGCCCAAGGAATGTGCTGGAGCCTTCTCCAACACCACAGCTCAAAGACTCAGTTTTCCTCCTGTAGTTTTTTCATGGTCCAACTTTTGCAACTGTAGGGAGCTATGGGAAAGATAGAGCGGACTAATCTGCATTTAGTTGCCAGGGTGATGTCCTTGCTTTTCCATATTTGATTCATGCTCATAATTGCTGTGCGACCTAGTGCAATTCAACACTTTATTGCTGGACTTCATTCACTGCTTTGATCAATCTGCGATTCTAGGAGAATTTCTT